AGCGCTAAACGAAACAGCGTTAATTAAACGAGGTCACTTTAACACAGAGTAAATAGGGAAAGGGAAACACGTGACCAAAAATAAACAGATTTTACTTTAATTTTAAGTTACCGATATTTTTATATTAATTTGCATAATAATATATCTTAAATAATACATAAACATATGCACACAGAAATGTAAAGTTTATTTTTTGTGAGTGTCCTGGCTCTTCCGAAATTCTTGATTTTTTGTGATAAAGTCGTGTACTTCCATTTATCTCTTTTTTCTTTCCTTAAGCAAATGTCAGTAGGAGATCACATTTGAAACGCCTCGTCTTGCTTTTGCACTCTTTTCAAAATCTGAATAATTCACTACAATTTGATCAACGATTTCGGTTATTGTTACCAAACTTTTACTAAGGAAATCTATAGAGAAATTCTTTGTGTTCTTCGTTTTCAGAATTACTATTTTCCAGTTCTACATGAATTCCTTGTTCTGCCAGTTCTCGAAGGTCATTAGTAAGGCTCTCACCAGAAACCTGCAGTAACTCCTCAATATTCTGCTCGTCTACATCTTCTAGTCCTACTCTATCGATTAGGTTGACCAAATTGTCAACCTAGCGATATAGCGATAGGATCTTCTCACTGAGAATTCTTGGATACCTTCAGCCATAACTTCTTCCACACTTTGTTCATGCATTTATCAGTTAATTCATGCCAATCGAAGTCAATATTGCCTATGGTATTCATGATGTTATATTTTTTCTAAAATTGCACTAAACAAACATAGATTTAAGGAAAGTACAGTACAGCACAACGAATTGCCACCTTTTGCTGATTGATTTGTGTTTAGGAATAATCATATTATATACAAATCAATAAAATGCCGCGATAATTTGAATCGGCGTAAATTTTGAGCTGTTTTTTTAGGCTTTGAGGAGACTGTGTTATATCGAATCAGCATTAAGTGGGGTCTTACTGTATTTTGAAAATTTTTGAATATTTTTTTTTTTTCATAGTATGATGCACTACTGAACAGTCTAAGAAATACTCACATTATATGTTGAAGTTGATGCAAAACGTAATATGCAACCTGTAAATGATGTGTTTATAACAGAAGAACAGCGACTAATTCCACAGACAAAATTGGAATGTGAAGTTTTTCCTAAATAAAAATAAGATGATAAATAAATTTCAAGACAATTAACAACTATATCAAAAAGATAAGAATTACAAAATAACAAGATTTTAAATAGTTAATTTTATAATTAAAATATTTCAAGGAATTTCATAGTTAACATCTATCCAAAAATCATTGTTGTCATTAATTACATTTTAAAGAAAAATTAACTTTCTTAATGTAAATAGTATGTGATATTGTTGTCATTAATTACATTTTAAAGAAAAATTAACTTTCTTAATGTAAATAGTATATGATATTGTTGTCATTAATTACATTTTAAAGAAAAATTAACTTTCTTAATGTAAATAGTATGTGATATGGTATATTCCAAAACAAAGGACTGGATCTCTAAATATTACTAAATCATGAAAAACAGTAATAAGTAATATTTTGGAATTATGCAATTATTCATCCTCTAGATTTCTGGAACAAATACATGTATACAGTGCACTTACTAATCCAAATGGTGGGGTTGTTCAGATTTGTGAAATATTCAGATTAATTAAATAACAGAGTTATACATGCAGAAACTAAACAAACATATACTGCATTTTCATGCATATAACCCTTAATTTCATATATTACATAGAAAAGTGCTAGAACAAAACTAAAACCAGCACAGAATCCATCCCACTATATACCTCATGCCTATGAGTAGTTATTGCTCCAAATGTGTGAGTTTATAATTTCAATTTAAAATTGGCATATACTATCACATCACATAACTTGCATCCCTTTCAAATAGTCTTTCAAACACATACTTTCTCATGAGTATAAGATACTGTTGGTTCATATATATTATCTATCTATATATATATATATATATGTTACTGTGAATGACTGATATCTGGCGAATGTCAACATTCACACAGTCGTTTCACGTATGTACGAAATATTTGCTAAATATCATTATTTCTCACTTACACCAGCAAATGTCGACATTCAGCATGCACCGATGGTGAATGTTGAATAAAAATATCTTTATTACGTTAAGACAAAAATGCAACTTTTTTTAATATGTGAAAATAGGAGAAAGCTTAAGTAACAGCACATTTAAAAAAACTGTTGAACCTAAAACAAACAATACATTCTTTATCATTAAAGAAAATAATACAACAATAAACTTACACATAAATTATGTGATTAACGTTATATAATCTTATTTATTGCAACTACTTAAACTGTTATGGCACTTTGGATTGCACAAGAGTCACTTACTTTTACAACTGCATTTATTTGTGGAACACTTCTTTTTGCAATGACAGTGTGCATAGCCTTGCCCTCCACTTTTCGAATTAGCTGCAGCTGCTTCTCTCAGTGATATTTCTTGTGAAGAAATTTCATCTATGGAAAGTAACTTTTCTTTACAAATTACAAACTGATTATGAACTGATCTGTTAATGGTGTCTTTTATTCAGATATCGCCAACACCTTACCGACAACCCCTCTCATCCTCCGCCACTCAACTTGACAAACCGATCCCCACCTCACGGGATCAAAAGACCATGTCCTACCTCCCGCTATCCAAAAAGGATTTGGTGGCATTGGCTTCTCGGGTGTCGTTTCGACCTACACCAAAGCTTATCTGTGCTTGTCAACATACACCGGCAATTGTTCGATCGACGTATTTTGTATGTGTCGGCATTCACTGGAGAATATCGACATTCTCAGTAACATATATACACTATCTGGCCAAAAGTATCCGGACACCCGTAAAGAAGTTGGTCTGGCAGGTGATGGTCGTTGATGCGTAACTGAAACGTATGAAAGTGTTGGTAATGTTTTGTCAGGTCATATTTATCCATTTGTGAGACAATGAGTAAGTCGAAAGAGCTTAGCGAGTTTGATTGTGGCATTATAGTGAGATGCCACCTTTGTGGAAAATCAGTTTGTGAAACTTCAGACATTGTACAGAAGCCAAAATCCACTGTGAGTGATGTAATTGTGAAGTGGAAATGTCAAGGCAGTGAAAGTGGAAGAAAACAATGTGGCAGGCCAAAGAAAGTGAGTGAACGCAGCCGTAGAATCCTGAAAAGGATAGTGAAACAAAGTCGCACATCCTCGTTGGTTGAAATCACTCAGGAGTTCCAAAGGTCATCAGGCATTAGTATTCTAGGACTGTTCGTCGAGAGTTAAAAAACCTGGGATTCCATGGTCATGCGGCCGCTCACAAGCCGAACATCACTCCCCAGAATGCGAAGCGTCGATTACAATGGTGCAATGCTCACTGTCATTGGACTGTGGACATGTGGAAAAGTGTTCTTTGGAGTGATGAATCTCGCTTTACAATCTGGCAGTCCGATGGATGTTCTGGGTTTGGCGGATGCCCGGCAAGCACTGTTTACGTGACTGTATTGTGCCGACTGTAAAGTTTGGTGGTGGCAGCATCATGGTGTGGGGGTGCTTTTCATGGTTTGGCCTGGGTCCCTTAGTTTCTGTGGTTGGAAACATGAACTCTAAGATGTATGTGGACATTCTGGACAATGCTGCTCTTCCAACTCTATGGAACTATTTCGGGGAAGGTCCATTTCTCTTCCAGCAGGATAACTGCTCCATTCAAACATCGAGACTTGCGCAGGCATGGTTTGATAAAATGGGTGTTCAAAAACTGGACTGGCCTTCTCACAGCCCTGATCTAAATCCCATAGAACACCTTTGGGACGAATTAGGACACAGATTACGTAGTTAGCCACATCGACCATCCTCACTGCCAACACTCACTTCAGCTGTGATGGACACCTGGAAGTCAATTCCATTGGCCACCTATCAAAAACTAGTGGAAAGTCTCCCCAGACGTGTACAGCCTGTCATTGATGCAAAAATAGGACCAACATCATATTAATATATGCCTCAGGACTCTCCGAGTCCGTACTACTGGGTGTCCGGATACTTTTGGCCAGATAGTGTATCATATAAAGTAGCATACTGGTTTTGATGCTATGATATATATATTGTGGATACTTGTTTGTGCATAATAAATCACTACAAACAAGGTCACATATAATAAAAGATTAAAATTTATTACATACATGAATTATGGCGGGACTATACAAGTTAAACACGGGAGCAATGATACATGCGTCTGGAGCGAGGTCCGAATCCAAAAGGAATGTGATGTCATAGGTCAGGTTGCCAGGTCTGTTCAGTTCAGGGGTTCCTCCTTGTGGCAACTTTGGGATTTATCACCAAAGCTGTCACCACATATATATATATATATCATAGCATCAAAACCAGTATGCTACTTTGCCACAAGAGTGCACTATACTTTAGGAGTTGGCAGTTTTTAAAAACATAACTATGTTCTCATACATGGCAAGACAGTTTGAAGAAGGTTAATATAGTGTGTTGTAGTTTTTGTGATAGTGTTAAGAGAAATAAAAGGTTGATTATTGTTATGAATTGTGTGATGAATCTCAAATACTCAGATCTCTATATCAAGACTGACATTAGCGATATGAATCTAATTAAAGAAGCTAACAACATATCCATGAAAAATTACCAGGGTTCCTAGAGTTCAGTTTCAGAAAAGAGTTTTCCATAATCCAATTTCAATTCTTAATCCAACTCTGTGGAACTATACAGATATGTTGATGATGTAATTACAGGAAGGGAACAAAGTACAGACAACTTTCAAATATTTTTACATATATTAAGTTCTCCATTGTAGCAAATTATGTCAAGTCACTCTTATTTCTAGATTTGTTTGTAATTAATTCTGGAGATAAACTTTAAAAATAAGTTTATCATAAAAATAATTATTTTACAATCATCATTCAGAAAAGATTCTAATGTGGACATTTCTTACGTATTTCTATTTTTCATTACTTTTGCTTTATTTCTCATTTTTAATGAGTATTCCTTTATTCATCTTTGAGTAAAAACCTATACATTGCTTGCCATGTTAAAAAAGGTAACAATAAATAATGATGTTTTGAATTCCATTTATCAGAATACAAGTAACATAATAAGTGTTCCAAGATGTGTTATTGGGTTGCTATTATGTGATCTTGATTGGTCTGACAAGGCTCTGGAACCAAGAGTGCTAGAAAATTGGTGGTCAACAATGTAATTTCAAACACCACCTTGAAACTATCCAGTTTTGACTGAGAGAACACATCTAAATTTATATCCAAAATAATGTCCAATTACTCAAAAATATATTAAATTTCAAGAATAAGAGCAATCAAAGGGTAAAAAGATAATTTAATTTATAATAAGTATTTTTAATAAATTATTCATTTAAACTTTACCATATGGTTCTCTTAATTGTAATTTTTGTAACAAGTACATTATTAACTTGGAAAATTTCGATCCAATTATGATGCATATTCCAAATAATGCATAGTTTTTGTTGGCATCTCTTTTCAAAAGAAATGGTGTATCTTGAAGACAAATATTTTCTTTCAAAATGATTTTTCCAGCTAATTTAATTATTGTAGTACTTTGATATCTACAATGTTAAACACTTCATTAGACAAAATAGTTAACAGAATAAAATTATGAATTTTAATAGAACTTAACTTTTCGAAGTCCCAATGTTCACCATGAGCTTTTCGACCTGATGTAAACCAGTCCAACAGTACAAGATTTCCATCATAGTCAAGATTTACTTCTTGATATTGTTTATATTTTGCATCTTTAAAGCAAACAACAGGCTCTGGTAAGATGCACAGTAGACTTTCTGAATTTACTGTATATATAATATCTTGTTTACATTCTTTATTCCTTTTGCAGTTATATACCTGTTAAAATTAACATATAAAATATTTAATAACTATGTCCTATATCATATAATTAAACTTTTATTAATAATTGCATAGTTTACCAACTTTAGTGAAAGATTGTGTTGTCCATAAAACAGAACATTTTTCTTTAACAATCACATCAATTTTGAATGAATCTCCGGAAACAAAACCACCACCATAATTTAAAGAATAAATCCATTTGCAACAACCAGTTGCTGCATATTTAGGTATTATTATTTTCAACTGAAAATAAATTCATTATTGTTAATAATGATAGGATGCCGATAATACTTTAACAAAGCAAACTATACTTACAGGATATTTGTAAACACATTGAATGACTTCACTTGGTAAATATGGGCAGTCTTTTAAATGACATTTATTATGGCATGACTCAACAACTACCTGTCCAGACACTACTCTATCCATTTTTAATGTAAGCAATAGGAATCTTTAAAATTATTATAAATTTATTAATTTTTAAGAAATATTATAACTTAAAAAATAAAATAAATATCCATACAGATAAATCTTAGAAGAGTTTATGAAGATGTGAAAGGTACAGGGAATTTTTATACTTTATAATATTAGTTATACTTTAGTTAATAGCTAATTTGAATAATAATGTTAAAGTAGCATTGGAATTGCATTCATCAAAAATATAAAAATTTATAAATAATGGTTTTAATAAATAAATATTTATTTATTAAATACTAGCAGACCCCGCCACACGTTGTGGCTCAAAATGTATCTATTATAAATGTGTAACACTTTCCCCGTGGGGAGGGGAATTTTTCGAAAAATTTCTTCTTAGTGTACATTCTCTTGACGTACCCTATTAAAACGCAATCAAAAACGCATCTAAAATAGTATAATAGAAGCCAAGTTCTTCACGGTAAGCCTTAATCCTAACCATCTCCCTTCAGTGGGGGGAATTTTGACATGTATATTATATAAAAACACGTGCATATTCGAATGCAGCATCGTGTCAAAATTTTAAAGGAATCGGTAAGAACAAACAAACTACATTTTTATTTATATAGATAGATAGAAGATGATCTGCTTTAGTTCATTTTCACAGAAAAGCATAATGCCTCACAGAAAAGCAAAAGCAAACACAGGGCGTCGTACTCGTAGCGCCATCTGTTGGACATAAAAGCCTTAACCTACATTATATCTTTTAATTTATATGAATGTTTAACGGAATAATATACAGCCTATGTCTACCATGAAGTTCCATTCTAAATATTGGTGAAAGAATTTTTGAAATCGGATGAGTAGTTTCGGAGATTACCCGCTACATCCAAACTTACTTAAAACATTACCTCTTTATGATATTAATATAGATGTATATGTGTGTATAAATTTGTAAAACTACTCAAAAATTAGTATGCTATATTAAGGTGACCAATCGTCCTCCTTTTGTAAGTTCTGCCCTCCCTCAAAAAGTGTCCTCCTTTTCATTGTAAAAAAGTTGGTCACCTTACTACAGTATATGTAAAAAATGACTGCAAAGATTATGCTAAATATCTTCAACCATGTTGGTACTGGTACATCTTAAGATTCAGTCAGACAGATGGCAGGGTGGTTAAAATGCCAGTCTATTGCTATGGTGGTCCCAGGATCAAATCTTAGTGGGTTGAAAAATCCCACAAATTTTACGGAGGTTGGTCTTTCTCCATTCCCATTACCCAGCTACCCCATTTCGTGAGCCTGGCTGAGTCTATGATAAGTTTGAAGAAAGCTCTTTTAATGTCTGTAGGAAGGAAAGAGTAAAAAATTAATGGATGAAATTACTTCATTTCAATATTTCAAAGTAAGATCAATACAGTAAGGTCTTGTTTTATGTGGGATTGATTTACTCAGATTCATGTTTTTGCAGATGATGAATTGTTCTTTTAATGCAGTGATTCTCAAACTTTTTCGATCCACCGCCCCCTTTGTTCCATAAAGTTATACCCAATGCCCCCTAACCCATTTTCTCTTGTGTGAAAAAAGGATTGGAAATATTCTTAGGAAAACTTTTCTATGAATCTCACACTTTGTGCCCTTACTGTACATTGTTCTCATCATCTGGAAACCATTAAACGCAATGTTTCCTCTTATCAGCCCCAATTTTGCCTTTGGTCACCGTTCAATACCCTGCCTCTATCATAGATCTATTCATCGCGCCAGAAGGGGGCGTTATTGCTTACTTTGAGAAACGCTGAGCTAAAATAAAAGTCAATGTGTTAGAAATATTCAAGTTGTGACCTTCAATAAAAAATAAAAAATATATAAAATGTCAACATTTTATATATATTCCGTCGAATTTTTATATATAGAATTTGTCTGCCGTCGCCCCTCTATATTTTCTTAACGCCCCCCAATTCTCTTTGAGCCTTCTACTGCCCCCCTGAAAGCCTCCAGCGCCCACAAGGGGGCGTTATCACCCACTTTGAGAAACGCTGGGTTAATGCATTCCTAGTGTTGCTAAATCTTAAGTCAGCAAAATGTGCTTCTCCATCTTCTGACATTTCAAACATAGAGAACAGAACTACTGAATACTAATCACTATGATAAATAATACAATGGCTGATTGCATCTGAGACTACTTTTTTAGAACTCTCCTACTTGTGAGCATTAAAAGGGCTTTTTTATCAAGCAGACAGTAAGTTTGACCAAGACTACAATGGTATGATCAGGTGGTGAGGGATAGGGCTTGACATACCTGAACAAGTGCCTATGTAAAATTCCCAGATTTTTCAACCCATCCTGATTTGTACCTAGGTTCTCTAAAGCAGCACATTGACATCTTAACTGCTCAGCCATAAGGATTCATCTGAGAAGGTAGAGCATAAATTTATGTGGGAGCTTAATGCTGACACGACCCTGAAAACACAACCCCATATTGTATATTCAATCATTACCCATAAAATGTTTGCCTCTAAACATGGACTTTTGACCCTAAGCTAAACCGTATATGAGGTTCTTACTGACCTTACCCTATTTACTAAATAATAATAAATTTAAAGTGAGCCCCCTAAAAAGATAGTTCTTAAAAATCGTAAATGTTCCACATAGTATATTTAGATACATCTTCATTTGTTTCCAATTCACATATCATAGACTATTTATGATTTATTTTTATGAACATTTATTTTTTTTTGTTTTGTTTTTTTTTAACTCTACGCTCTGTGAGCATTAAATGGGCCTCTTTTAGCAAGCCCATTACAGGTTTGGTCAGGCCCACAATGGGGCGGCTGGGTGGTGAGGGATGGGGCCCGACATATCCGAACGGACCACCCCCGAAAAGTTCCTGGGGATTCCTCGACCCGACCGGATTCGATCCCGGGTCCCCCAGAGCGGTAGGCTGCCACCTTGACCGCTCGGCCATCCGGCCTTTTTTTTTTTTTTTTAAATATATTTTTATTTACAGTAGAATATTACATACAGTGTTTCAATCAATTATTATCGTTGATTGATGCATAGTACATAGTTATTTTTTTGTATTATATAATATTTTACATACATATAATTTTTTTCTGATACTGATTTACTATTTTGTTTTCATGATGTACAGTACGATGTGAAAGTGGATTAAACAGACTATATGGAAAGGTTGCGATGCGACATTTCGTCGTTTACAATCTGTAGCGTTATTTGGTTGTTTTCGTTTTTTCCCAGTTGTTGATTTTTTTCGTATTTAGATTCTTTTTGCTATCATTTATCGTTTCCAGTAGTCTTTGTAAATGGAACTTGAATTTCGTGATTGTCGTTATATCGTTTATTTTTCGGAAATACGCTGTGTTTCTGCTTCTCCAGATAGCTTCGAATGCTGTTATTAAGATAGCGTAATTTACCTCTTTGTTCTGTATATTATGAAGCCATTTGAGTTCATTTTCGTTAGATGGTTTTTGAATATTGTTGAATTTTTCTAGGAATATCCATACTTTTTTCGTATGTTCGCATTGGAGGAAGGCATGGTTAAGAGTTTCTGATAATTGGCATACGGGGCATTTATCCGTGGATATTAACTTTTTGTTTTGTTTCCATGTATTTGTAGGGAGACAATTATGATGCATGCGCCAGAAGATTGTTTTCGCATTGTTGTTTATTCTTAGTTTCGATAAGGTTTTTATTATGCTTTTGTTTAGGATGTTGGCTGGTGCTATTCTGTTTTGGGGTTTTGGAACGTAGATATCAACAAGCTTGTTGTATAATTCGTCAGGTTTTGATGACAATATTTCTTCATCAGATAAGTGTTCTTTTAATACTTTGTAGCACCGTATTACCTCCTGTAGGATTGCTGGCGGCTTCGACTGGTCTGTAATTTTCGCTGACGACACTACTATGTTGGGGATGTTGATCTGTAGGTAGGCTTTTGCTAAGCATGCCCATGCAGGATGACTGTGAATATTTTTTATTATATTTATACGGTAGATAAATGCTTTTAAAGATATCTCCTTCAGTCCAATTCCCCCATTCTCAACACTGTTGTATAGCGTGTATCTCCTGATTGGCTCATATTTGGATGACCAAATATATGTTGCTGTTATTCTGTTACCTTGTTGAGTGACTTTTTTTGGGAGTGGTTGTGTATAGAGCAAATACCACATTGGGCTTAGCAGCATGAGATTCGCAATTTTTGCTTTACCCAGTATTGATAGGTTTTGGTTGCTCCACTTGTAGGAGGCTTTAAGGACTTTTTCGATTTTCGTGTCCCACTGATATTTTATGTTTTTTCCGACTTGTACTCCGAGGATTTTGAGGTTTTCTTTCACCCAGTTGAAATTTCCATATTTACTGTGGAAGTTATTCCAAGCACCAATCCAAAGTCCCTTAGATTTATTTTGGTTAATCTTTGTACCGGATGCCTCCGAAAATTTATGTAGGATTTCGGTGATATGATCAATACTTTCGAGGGTGGAGAGAATCAACGTGATATCGTCGGCATATGCCAGATATCTAATTTCAAGTTGCTGTGTAGTTGGTAGCCTGTAACCCTTTAAAACTGGATGCGTATCAATAAAACGGAGGAGCGGCTCGATGCTGATATCAAATAGTAGCATTGAAAGGGGACAGCCCTGCCTCACAGAGCATTTTAGACTGCAGGCTTTCGTAACGCCGTTATTTACGAGTATGTTGCTTTCTGCGTTATTGTAACAAAGTTGGATCCATGCTAGGTATTTTTCTCCTATGTTAATGTGCCGTAATAATGTCCACAAATATTCGTGGCCTATGTTGTCAAAGGCCCTATGAAGGTCAATTTGCAGGAAGCTGCAAGTATCGTCTCGGCCATCCGGCCCGACATATTCGAAACATTATGGTGATGGTCTTGATCTTTTTGAGTTAGTGGCATACTATTACAATTTAAAATTTTTTTGGTGACAAGCTAGTTACTGCCGAACCAAGGAAGCACTTACACAAGTAAATAAGATGCTGATGATTTGCATTTTTAATACGAAAAATTACATATATATATATATAAGTACGTAGTTTAAAATCGTAACACTTTTTTCCCCTTACGAAAAAGAAAAAAAAAAAATTAATAGAAATAGTAACACCTAGAATCGAGGAATCGTAATGAAAGTTTTTGAACATCTGCCAAAGTCCACGGAGCAAGCGAATGAAACGAATAGGGGCGAAGCCTCCGGGTAAATAATAGTAAAAAGTACCGAAGTGATTATCGTTTATGGAGTATTTTATTATTATTTTTTTTTTTTATTTTTTTAAAGTTTGTGGCATATCAATTAAGAATCACTGACGGTCGGATGCCCCGAGTGATTAAGGTAGAACCCTACGGCTCTCAAAGACCCGGAATCGAATCCAAACAAGTTCTAAAACCCAGGAAATTTTTCCAGATATGTCGGGCCCTGTCCCTTAATGTAGGCCTGGCTGAACCCGTAATGGGCTTGCAAAAAAAGGCTTCTCGATGACTATAGCGTGGAAAGAGTTTTAAAAAAGTTCAGAATTGCTGCGTTACGGTCCAATTATAATATTGACAAAATTATTGTAGATTGAATCAAATTACTAAATGAAGAATAAGAACAAATATTTTAAATGATTTACATATGCATTTAAATTTACTCGAATTTAACTTTTACTACAGTTTTTAGAATTTTTGTACGTATCCACGGAAATTTCATAAGCGCATGCTTAATTAAATTATAACGCCAAAGTATAATCATTTTAGATTTTAAAATAATTTTGAACTAACCTTTAAGCTTTCTGTTACTTTTAAATGTTTAACTTATACTTCCAGTTATCAGTTGCTATTTATCTGCAATGACATCAATTAACGATTTCTCGGAGTCACTAACTTCCAGCAAAGGTCATATTTACGTAATGCTAACAGAAATGTAGATGTCATACGGGAAATTATATTAGAATATGATGAATGACTACATCAATCTAATGTCTTTTACATAAAATACTATTTATTTATCATTTTAAGAATGATTGAGTATTTCCAATTAAATCCAAGCAACGCTAATTTTTGAGATAACTTAGCTTTTTTTTTTAGTTTTATTCATTTTGATTACCTGAATGCCTATATGATTTAATAAAAAGTAAAATACATCACAAATGGATACGAGATGATTGTGATTGGACATGGCAAGCAAAATTGGACTCGTATCCATTTGTGATGTATTTTACTTTTTATTAAATTGTAATTCTACCAGCCCTTTTCTACAAGAAATATTATATTTTTAATTGTGTTGGGATTGTCACCTGTGGGCATTTTAAACTGTTTTGCATATTTGTGCAGAGGCATAGCCTCTTAAAAAAGGTTGTCTCTGCAATGGAAATAGTTGTTCCTGGTGATTGGACATGGCAAGCAAAATTGGACTCGTATCCATTTGTGATGTATTTTACTTTTTATTAAATTGTAATTCTACCAGCCCTTTTCTACAAGAAATATTATATTTTTAATTGTGTTGGGATTGTCACCTGTGGACATTTTAAACTGTTTTACATATTTGTGCAGAGGCATAGCCTCTAAAGAAAGGTTGTCTCTGCAATGGAAATAGTTGTTCCTGGTGATTGGACATGGCAAGCAAAATTGGACTCGTATCCATTTGTGATGTATTTTACTTTTTTATTAAATTGTAATTCTGCCAGCCCTTTTCTACAAGTCTATATGATTGTTAAAATATTGAAACATGAAATTGTTGAAGTTCTCTTTTAGTCGTATCCTATAGAACTGATTATTTTGCGTTGTTCTCAATATTTCTAGAAGAAAAACTTTAAATTTCTGAAAATTTTCGTGGCTAATGAATTAAAATTTGTGTTCATTTCTTGACGTTTCTATATTTTTAGTGCAGCAATGAATATAAATTACTTTAAACTAAAAATTTATCTCAATATAGGCAGGCAGACACAGGATGCCCGGGCAAGGTGGCAGCTTACCGCTCTGGAGGACCAGGGATGTCTCCAGATTATAAGTAATTTATGGGATCAGATGGGACGCCAACTTCGGCATCTATGAGTATGAAAGATTCGGAGCGGCGCGCCGCTCCAGATCTTTTACACTCATAGATGGCCGAACTGTATTGTAATATCTGTGGGCAAATCTTGTCACAGCACACGGTAACCATGCTTTCATGCCTGACCGGATCATCGCATATATCCAGGAAAGTGTTAGTCATACAAGGTTTTAAAGATTGCTTTAAATTAGACAGTTGCTTTACAGAAAATTGCTTTGTTATAAAATTGTAATTGTTTATTATATACAGTCAAGTGGCCATACTCAGGACGCAAGCATTATTTGGGACATTTTTCAACTATTTACGTTTCAAGATTGCCATTGTTGTGAGCAGAAAGTAAGTTTATCTGTAAAGTAGACATGTAAGTAGTTAATTAATTGAGTTGCATTAAGATTATTGTCGGAGCGAGGCGAAGCTGAGTGACGCCAAGGCCCATAGTGAAAAACAGAATTTCATGATACGTTGGCATAGCAATTAATTAATGGCTTATCCTGACCTTATATTTGTACCTTTAAATTATACAACAGAAATCAAATATATTGTTGAGAACGAATGATTCTCTCTTTTTTACCTCATAATCTAGAAAATGAAGATGCGAGCAGCCTCGCACCGACTATACGCTGATAAAGCGTTACGTAACTAGTTTTAATTGTGCTTTACAATCCCGTATAGTTTCACAATTTAACACAGCGATGACGAAATATGGCATCTGTACAATTAGTTATAATCTCACTGTTCGACGAGTTATTTAATGTTAATAGATGTAAATGTACTCTTTTGCCAGTGTTTATCCACTAAAGATAATGACATTTAACTAGGATGCAAAAGTATTTTAATACTCGATTAAGCGTAACAAGAGCAGTCATCTAACAAATGTTTAAATTCTTATGTATTTGTTTTTATTATTTAACAGACTGAAAAGTAACATTATCAAAAATTATAAATTTTCACGCGTCCATCCATGAAAGCAGCCATTTTGATAAAACGAAGAAAGCGTCTTCCGAGGCTGCCCGGACACGCAGCAACAATTTCTCTTCAAGTTTCTGCAGCATTGCTGAATTTAGCAACGATCGGTATATTTTTGTCCACTAGAGGGCGAAAAAGAGATTATGTTTGAAAGCTCTCTCTTCTCGTTTGGAAGCGTGCAAAAGCGATAAGTTGGATCTATAAAACACATTTATATTTATTTTCTCTAGAATTTACTCATTTCATTATTTATTTTAAATGCATATTGATCGATTTCAATATACAATGGCTATGTCTAAATAACTATAACCATTTCATTTGTTTCCAGTAATCAGAATGTCAGATGATGATAGTGAAGAGATACTTGTGGATGAAATTGGGAATTTAGATATAGATGGTAAAAACGTTGAAAATGTGATGATAGAATCTGGTAAGATTAATAATATAAAAATATGTGTGTATTTTGTCAATATTTTTATAAAATTTAATATATATCAATTTTCATATTTGCAAGGATCCAAAATGTTTAAGATTAATCCTTAAATTTATTAGAATTTTATATTAAAATTCTAAAAAATATAAGGATTAATCTTAAACATTTAAGATTAACATAATTGCATCAAAAGTCTGGAATTTGAAAATAAAGCAGAAGTAAATGATTGATTTGCAGATGTAAGACACCAGTGTTATGGACTATACAGTTGGTTTCAGTTTTGCCTAAGCCCACTAGTGGCTGAGTGTATAAACCAATAAACACTGGTAGTTGATTTTGGGTTTAAACCTGACCAACAGGCTGGCCATATCAGGCTTCTTCACATGTTTAACTCCTAAATAGGGGCCAATTTTCCATAGTCTTCCTGGGATCAGGATTATCAACTTTCAGAGTAACAAATTCCAAACATAGTGTGAAAAACACTGACTTGAAACAAGTGATGAGCAAAAGAAAACTACAAGCAAACATTTTTTCCTTTCCTTGATGATTAATTCTGATGATGATGATGATGATGAGGCAGTTAAGACATTAGTCTACCACTCTGGGAACCCTGAATCAAATCTGGATAAGCAGCCCCAGAAATTTTTTCATGGCAGTCTGTTTCAGATATGTTAGGCCCATTCTTTACCATCCTGTCATTCCCATTCTGGGCCAAGCCAAACCCATGATGGGTATGATTAAACATGTTCTCTTAGTATCTATAGGTAGAAAACCCCAAAAAAATATTGAAAGTATTGAAAATAATTTGGATTACAATTAGGGGTGACAACTTCTTATGACAAAGGGACAAATTGGGATTTTTTGATACTGCTGATACTGTATTGATACTTTCCTTTGATACTGAGTACTTTTTGCACTTGATACTTTTGGTCTGATACCAATATCAATACTTTACTTTGGGTATCAGATCTGGTATCATTACATTTTCACAGACAGGTAAGATCTGACCAAAACTGAATTTTGCAGCCGAATCAGGAACCAAAATGGAATTTTACACTATTTTCAGTTAAGTTAAACTTATATGGAAAGTAACTTTACTTTATCCAACACTGGAAATATCAATTATGTACAACACCTTGAAGCCTGTTACCAGTGTGCAATTGACTTCAAAAAATGAAAAAGTAAAATTTCACAAACTTCAGATGGTGACAAATTTCCGTTAGAATGTCATTAAATTTTTATATTTAATGACATTCTAACGAAAATTCATTGCTGTCTGAAGAAGAACCGTTAAAGGTTCGAAAACGTTTGTGAAATTTTATTTTTCCAGTTTTTGAAGTCAATTGCACACTGGTAACAAGCTTTGAGGTACATAATTTATATAGAAAGTATTAATGACCAAAAATCAATGAATGTATTACATCAAATTTCATTTCCAAAATCTGTATGTGTTTACAGTTCAGATTACTATTTATAAATAAATATTTAGTTAAACATTATGCAGTTCTTTTGTTTGTTAATCAACTTGGACTTTCAGTGACGTTTAAAATGAGCTACAATTTATATATACTTGTTTGCACTGACATTTGTAAAATTTGAACATACAGTAATAAAGAACTTACAATGACACTGTTTTACCTCTTTCCCAATGATTTCTTATCCACCCCTATCCTGTATAAAGTCAAATTTCCTGAATTGTAGATCCGGGGCTTTTTTGTGTACATAAGACATCATATGAATGTAAACTGAAGTACTGACTGACACACTGACTTCTGAAGCAGTAGCTGGGATTCAATTTCATGCAGTAAGCAACAAAACATTAATTGCTGCTCTGGGGCCCATTCTGCCTTCATTGTAATGAGTACATTACACCTATCCCTTTTTATGCTGCCCATTTTTACATGATTTTGAAATAACATGGATGAAATAACAAAAGAAAACTAATTTGAAAATTTTTAAATTTAACTTTTCATTAAAATTGTTGAAATCAATAGTTAATTTTTTTTTTAAGCACAGTACAGTTCTATATGTACATCAGAGAATGCTGTATGTCAATTTTATGTTTTCTATGCTACCTTGTGTTTACTATACAGTAATACCTTGGTTTTCATCGATTTTTTTCCACAAAAAATTTGTCTTGGATTTTGTCAGTGTGCCTATGTGACCTCACTGCTAATTTTGCAAAAACAAAGGGTGACCCACATGTTTTCATGCTTAGTGTGGCATTGTGTGATCATTACCCCACATGTCTATCCAAACAATTCTATTGCTTTCCATTCCTTCTAGCTTCATCGTGAAAATGATAAAAGTTTCCAAAGCCAGTAGCCCTTCAAAGAAGTCCAGGAACATGATTGATTTGAAGGTAACTATTCAAAAATATGAGAGCGCCATTAAGATTGCTGAAATCGGTCGCATGTATGGAAAGTCATCATCCACAATAAGTTACATTGTGGATGATGACTTTCCATACATGGCGTAAATGTGCTAACAAAATAGAAATTGCAAAGAATTGAAGATGCCGAACAGTTATTATTAATTTGGATCAATCAAAAAGTTATATGGCGATCTGTTTTGGAGGCCATCATATTAATCTTTTATATTAATTTCTTATTGTTTTTACTATTAAACACTATATTTATTCTCTATAAATTGTATTTTGGATTGTCTAGAACAAATTAATTTGATTTACATTGATTCATATGGAAATAATTGCCTTGGTTTTTGTTGGTTTCAGATTTCACCAATTGTTTTTGGATAAATTATCGACAAAAACCAAGGTATCACTGTATTTATGTGCAAATAATGGTAATGATAAATGATGTTAGAATGAAAAAGCTCATGCTTCTTTTGTAAAGGGCTTATTTTTTTTGTTCTGTTGAAGTTGTGGATCCTATCAAATATTTTTCTACAGAATGCATGTACTGTACTTTTTTATGTGACTTTTTTTACACATGGTATTCTTTGGAATGTATTGTCTAAAGAACACCATAAAAAATGGTATAAAAAGTAAGGATAGAGGTGCCTTCTCAGCAGTGAAAACAACTAGAAGGCAGCATGACAGATTGAACGTGAAAGCCGGCAAGATTTCCAGTTTCAATACTCGATGCCAATACTGGCCAGTATTGATACTTTAAGACCGATACTGGTATAGTTACTTTAAAACTACTCATGATACTAATATCGATACTTTTGTGGTATCAAAACATCCCTAGGGACAAGCTAAAAATAAACACAACTCTATTAATTTTTCAAAACATTTCTGAACAGTTTTTATTTTCAGAATAATTTTTTAAGAATAGCTGAAATCCTGAATAGTTGGCAACTGTATGTACCTGAGATGTTTCCTTAGCAAATTGTACTCGTGTTGCATTGCTTTATCCCAACAAACAGTTTTATCCATTTCACTAGTTTGATCTGTGGTGAGGAATGAGCTATGTATTCAGATCAGATTATCTATGAAAAGTTTCTTAAATTCTGATCTGGATCCTTCAGTAAAAGCTGAGTTTGTGCTGCCAATTGCTATATTGATTGCATGGCTCTGTTAAAAAAAAAAAAAAGAGAGAGAGAGAGAAACAGAAGAAACTAAAATTGTTACAATATCTTATACATTTCTTCTATATCATCTTTAATTAGATGTTAGATTTAATATTAAGTTTTAAGAATAATACTTGTATAAAAACTTTTAAAAAACATTACTTATTAAAGGCATTAATTCCTATCTCTAATGAAAATTTTATTGAAATAATTGATTTTATTTATTATAAATACAGAATAAAACTCAGGACAGTAAACAGTAGAACAAAATGTTCTTTAAAATCCATTTGTTCAGTATCTGAATAAAATGTGTTGGTGATCTGGACCTCTAATGCTGCATGATCTAGATTGCTGAGGCCCCATTATGTCAGGTGATCAGGGTCTGCCTGATCACCTGACATAATGTTTTTGAACTTTTCTCTTTGTGGGCATGTCAAGGATCATGTATATGCCACAAAAGTGCCAGATATGAGAGTCTCATGTAGAAGAATCACAGATGGCATTCTTCTAACATGTTTGCTCAGACATGGACCAAAATTGGATATCATACTTGCAATGCCTGGAGCATATGTGGAACTGTACTGATTTAATGTAGTAACTAACTTTTCAGATACACTCCATTACCATTGTCTACAACTCACTCGTGTTTCTTTTCCCAAAATTAATCCAGAAAACTAGGAATGTTTGAAGAAAACACATTTATAAAAAAGTTTTGTTTAAAATTATTCAGATTTTCTCTATTTTTTTTCAATACTTTATATTTAGTTCCGGTGTGAATTGTATATCTTCATAATTTTTATTTTCAAAAAATGTTTTATCACAAAATAATTTAGAATATAAATTAAAAACTTTTATCTATAGTTATAGAAATGTTGAAAATTTTTATCTGTAGTAATAGAAATGCTGATGTTTACACTTACCTTCATTCAAATACAATTTTTCTAAGCTAAATTCAATGTATTTTTATCCTTTTTTTACTGTTGTTTGAATTTTATCTACTCCAGTTCTCATTTTTATATTGTTTTATAGAAGTAAATTTAACGTTATGAAAAATGCAATAAAATTCTGTCATAGTCCAAGTTTTTTGTTGATTTATGAAGTTTAGTAGTTTTTCCTTTTTTGTTCATCATTCAAGTATGGTATACTGTTATATATTTCAAGGACTAGAAATATACACGTTTTTAATCATCATATGATATTGATACTGACAAATATGAAAAATAAGATGATAGTCCATTAGAGCCACATTATTTTTTAAGACTAACCATGTTTTCCATATGCAGTTGACTCTTGTTAACTCAAAGTGAAAGAGAGGAAAAACATTTTTGTGTTAAAATTTCAGTTATGTAAATTACTTTAAATGAGATCATAAATATTATGATGCAAATAATACTATTAGATTAAATATAAGGACCTTGAATAAGTTCTCGCTGTTTTCCAACAGATGGTGTTACCAGAACCACGTGTGTTTATTTTTAGATGGTGACACATCTGTAAGGAAGTACAATAAGCGACCTTGAAATTCAGTATAGGTCATTTCACCAAAGTGTAAACAACTTATTTTTTCATTGTGTTAAACATGTCTAGTTTCGTGCTAAAAAAAGAGTATTTGCGGGGAATTTTATTGCACTATTTTATTCAAAAAAAATCTGCAGCTGAAGCACACAGAATTCTTGTTGAGACTTACGGCGACCATGCTCTGTCGGAAACAACATGCAGAGATTGGTTTAGACGCTTCAAAAATAATGATTTTGATGTTGAAGATAAAGAACGATCTGGTGCACCAAAAAAGTTTGAAGACAAGGAATTAGAGGCATTACTTCATGAAGACTCATGTCAGACGCTAGCTGAACTTGCAGAATCATTAGGAGTTGATCACACAACAGTTTCGAAACGTTTAAAAGGATTAGGAATGATTCAAAAGCAAGGACATTGGGTGCCGTACGAGTTGAAGCCGAGAGATGTCGAACGGCGTCTTTTCACATGTGAACAGCTGCTTCAACGGCAGAAAAGGAAAGGTTTTCTGCATCGTATCGTGACAGGTGACGAAAAATGGATACACTACGATAACCCTAAGCGTAGAAAATCGTGGGGTAAGCCCGGTCATGCATCAACATCGTCAGCAAGGCCGAATATCCATGGTTCGAAGCTTCTGCTCTGCATTTGGTGGGATCAGCTAGGTGTAGTTTATTACGAGCTGCTCAAACCAAACGAAACTATCACGGGAGATCGCTATCGACTACAATTGATGCGTTTGAGCCAAGCATTGAAGGAAAAACGGCCGCTATATGAGCAGAGACACGACAAAGTGATTTTGCAACATGACAATGCTCGGCCACATGTTGCACAACCGGTGAAAACGTACTTGGAAACGCTTAAATGGGAAGTCCTACCCCACCCGCCATATTCACCAGACATCGCCCCTTCCGATTATCACTTGTTCTGATCGATGTCACGTGGCCTGGCTGAGCAGCACTTTCGTTCTTATGAAGATGCCAAAAAATGGGTTGATTCTTGGATAGCCTCAAAAAACGTGTTGTTTTTCCGACATGGAATTCAAATGCTGCTAGAATGATAGGAGAAAGTAGTGGCTAGTGACGGACAATACTTTCAGTGACGTGTTTATTACGACTTTTTTTAAATAAAGTGTTAATTTTCACAAAAAAACAGCGAGAACTTATTCAAGGTCCTTATATATTATAGTTTTATTATTTCTTAGGTACAGTACATACATATACAAAATATTCACATCATTAATTAAAGAAGTTTTTTATGTGTTTGACATTAGTGATTCATTGCTTTCTGCTTGATAATGTCTGATTTGACTTGATTGTTTCAAAAATAGCTTGTTCCATGCCACTTCTGGAAAGTCTGTTTAAAAAACAATTTAAATAGAGAACCTATCTATAAAATTTGATTGGCCAATTTATGTTTAAAAATAAAGTTACTTTAGGCATGAAACATTTTTTCTTAACTTTTATGCTGTTGCTTTGTAAATTTACTAACATGTCAAGTCATTTTATGCATATCATCAAGAGTACAGACTTAAATGTTTGTTTTTATTTCAAGTTTGTTTTAATTAATGTGGGGTGTCACTTTGAGAGTATAATAGAAAGCATACAATATTATACATGAAATAAATTCAAATGAATAACTATTAGGCAAGAACTTGACCAATTAATTATAGTGTAGATATTATGTAATTTGGACTTAAGGTAAGTGATTATTGCTCCATTTGGTATTAAATTTTAATAATTAGCCTGATAATTAATCTGGCTCAATCATTTGATTATTGGTATAATTTTGTTTTCTATGTATATTAAAAATAAGTTTACCAGAACTGTAGAGTTTGAGCTAGCAAAATATGCCCTTGAAACCATTTTGACTTATAAATACACAAAGTGTATTGAGTTATGACAGTTTTATTGGAACAAAAATAAGATTTGAATTAACAAAATTTGATATATTAAGTGACAATTGTACACACACAGCCATTATAGTTACATAAACAGAACTAACAATAAGATATGATTTTACATGAAAATACATGAAGTTCTGATAATCACTTACAAATAAATATTCTGAGCAATCTAATGTTAAAAATTAAAGGTTATGCTCTTTTGAAGAATCTTATAATTTTTAATTCTTAATATTAGGTGATCCTGAGAAAGATGTTCTACAAGCTGCAGAAAATAATGAAGTGGAGGTGTTAAGAGCTTTGCTGGAAAATGATCCAAATCTGGTTAATGTTAAAGATGAAGATTCATATACTCCTTTACATAGAGCATGTTATAATAATAATGTAGAAGTTATAAGGGTAATTTTTTAATATTTTAAAATATATAGGTATCCTTTGTATAACACAGTAGTGATGTTCCGAAAAAGTACTGTGTTGTGAATCATGTTTTGCGAAGTCCTTTGTTTTGTATAGCAAAACAAAGGACTACTGCAAAACATAGAGTTAGGTTCCAGAAGTTAACAAAAGTATAGTCTTATTTCTCTTAGTAATGAAAAAGATGATTATTAAAGCAATCAATAATTTATTTCCTATCAATAATTAACTAACGATCACAATTAAAAGTACTGTATAATATGTTAATATTAATTTTAGTTAAGCAAGGGTGTTTTTTTACAAACTATCATAATCTTCTGTGCTTTTTTTGTTCATCTTGATCAGAAATATCAGCAACGTCTTCATTTTTTATATTTTTGCCATAAAATTTTTTTATGTATGTTATTAATTGTTTAAACAAAATAAAAATATGTTATTAATTGAAAATTTGTTCTAGCAGTTCATGTTTGCTCAATTGAGGACTGAGCAATTTAGTTTCCAGAATTTGTATTCAAATATGGAGTTGTTTAGTACCAAGACATTGCTGTATTTCATTTGTTTCTCATTTTTATGAATAATTACTTACCTAGAGTTAAAAAACAGTTTAATAACACTTATCTAAAAATGTTTAAATAAACTTTACTAAATATGAAGATTAATGTATGAAAACAAAACACAGTGACGGTCTTAAGGACTAAAGTCTGAAAGCAACAATGCTACCCAGTTGATAAGAAAGCTAGGACAAGGAAGAAATAAATTGCACTGTCATTTTTCATTAAAGTAAAACTGACAAAAGGCATAAAACAAATTGAAAATTTCAATATTCTAAAATCCATGAGTAACTTTCAGACATCATGCATGCATGTTTACTTGAATAAAAAAAAATATAGAATAACAGAGTTTGTACTTAAAAGTTTTGAAATTTTGTACAGAGGATTTCTCAAATCCTCAAACCATGTTAGAGTGAAACTGGGAACCGTGTTGCACAAGGATAACCCCCAATTTTCAAACCATGTTGTATGAAGGATACCTGTATATTTTTTCTTATAAATGCTAGATTGTAAGTTTGATAATTAATTAGCTAAATTATGTGTTAATTATTAAATTGGTTTTAATTGAACATTATCTTTTTGACTTCCGAATTCAAAAAATCAATAACCAACATACAGGGGTGCAAAATATTTTCAGGGCCAAAAATTCCCTGAAAATTATTACACATTAGCATGCAAAATAAAATAATATTTTATGAGCAAATTAATACCTATCAGAAGAAAAAAAAAAGAAAAAAACAGCATTACAAAGTTTTAGGAGTCAAAACTTTATTGGAAAAATGTCTTTTCAAGATCAGTATGTTCCATCATCAATCCCAAATGTAGGTGTTTCCCTACTTAAAAACATTCAACTTACAAACTTTCAGGCTTATGAACAATTTGACCATACATCAAATGTTAATATGTAACAACTGTATAACAACTGAAGAGGGACTATATGAGTCCAAAATGCATTTTGTTAAAGGTACTTAAAAAGAATAAAAAGAGAAAGTTATAACACACAAAAGTCATTGTGATAAGTTTGGGTAAAAACAGCACTATTTAGGTTGCTGAAATAATAATTTAATTTCACCATATATTTAAAATCTCATGCAATTTTGAAGTTCTCTTGCTGCTTATGGGGTGATGTTAAAGTCAATCTTTGACCAATAATAAAGAATTAATGTGGGCTTTCTTTTGCATATCATCATTTTTTGTTTTTGTGCAATTCTGAGGTTCCATGAAGTAGTGTTGAGATTGGTACAACATTGGAGTAATGGATTTTTTGCCAGTATTTGTAACTTTTGTAAACTGTTATGATTAGTACTTCAAAAATGTGTATAATACTAAATCTAGCAGTGGAGATAAATGCAAGAAGTGTCATTTTATTACCATTGAAATTAAGCTGGACATTATAAAACTAAGTGTGTTTGGTGAAAAAATATGTTTGGAACACTTGTTTACTTGCTTGAATAGAACACAGAATAAGGGCTATTTCACACTATGACTGACTGGTCCAACTCCAAGTCGTATTGCCATGGCAACAGCAGTCAGCCAACTGACTGGTCATTCCAGTCAGATAGATTTAAAAAGTTAAATATTTGTAATTGAGTCGGAGTAGTTGGTGAGCTACAGCCAATGAGAGCTTCGAAACTACAACCAACCAGACTTTGCATAACATAATGTTACTATTTCTATATGAAAACTATCGAATCACTCAAACTCTTTACATTATATATATTTCTAATTTATTTAAATTTTCTCTTGTACCTTATTTCTTTCATAACTGCTTAAATTTTATATGGGAACACAAATGACTTTAATATATATATTAAAAAATATTATCGACGTAATGAGAAAAGATTGTATTACAGTATTTAGACTTTTCGGAAGAATTTATAAATGAAGTAAGATAATTTCCACAAAGTTTAACCAAGTAGATTACAAAAATATTTTTAAAAATTAGAAAAACTTAACAATTTCTAACACCCATTCTGATTGGTCCTTACAAATCGGTCACCGACATATATTCGTAGTCAATGTGAATGCTTCCTACAACTAGTCTGTCTGATTGTAGGATTGGACGGGTCGGACCAATCGGTCCAGTCATAGTGTGAAACAGCCCTAATTCTTGTTTACTTGCTCACTACTGCTACTAAGCAGCAGTGAGCAAGTAAACAAGTGTAATTCTGTGTTCTGTTAAGTGCATTGAAGGATCAAACATTAATAATAAGTGCTTATTCTATGTACAAATGTAATTTATAAGTTAGTTTTTGACTTACAACAAAACCTGGGGAACCTAACCTAACTAAGTAGAGGAGCTGAAAAAAGGAAATTTGAACAAGAACATTGTATTTTCATTGAGCATCTTTAGGAAGTTCAAATATGTGAACAATTTTAAATAAATCAGAACTTTTTGATTTAAATAACTATGTGTAAAATTAATGGTTTTAACATGTAAACATCAAGTATACAAACTAAATGATTAACACAGTGATAAAAGCAATGAGAGAATAAAATATTATAAAATACAGAAAAAGAAACTATGAAACAAATAGATTATGACAGTTTTGAAATGTTTTAGTCTAAAGTATCCTTATCATTTTTTGACCTCTTATCAAAGTCTGGACAGGATGATAGTATTTTTTATTTATTTATTTTTGATGACTTAAAAATTGAGTTAAGTTCATTACAGAGAAGCATTTATGTCTGAAAACACAAGTGAAGTGATGAAAGCAACCATACCTACATCTAATTTATTGCTTCCTCCATTTATTTAGCAAAAATCATGTCCAGTTCTTCAGCCATTTTCAAAGGGAAAAATTTTGTATCTGTTGGAATAATCTCTGCTTCCTCCCAGCAGGAAGTTGACTGTTGGTTGATTGATTAAAAATATATATACTTGTGAGCACTATGTTGGCCTCTTTATTCCTAGACTTATTACACCATCACTGGACACAAGATCGGCCTTAGAAAATCACTTTATTTTCTAAGGCCAATCTTGTGTCCAGTGATGATGTAATAAGTGTAGGAATAAAGAGGCTAACTTAGTGCTCACAAGTATATATCAAGACTAGACAAGAAGCATATTATAGGATTAAAAATGTGATTGGCCAGAGCTGTCATTACCCGTCCGTTCCTCAAATCATCTTGGCATTCTTTCAGCAAATGCTTCCTATGTAATATAGATCATGTTTCTGCCATCTTTGACCAGAACCTTGTATACACTTTGGTGTTCTTTAGAAAAAGACTGTCATGCTTTATGATGTAGTGAGTAGCTTGATGTTGATATGTTGACCTTTTTAATTCTGAATTGTTTAGATAGGATCCTAGCTGTCTGTACTCCTGTAATGTTGAGATTAACTGTCCAGTTGTCTCCAGTACATGTGTTCTCTAGTATGGAAAAGCCAGGCCCTTATATTATTGGACAGGTTGCAGATGAGCCAATGGGGAAAGCCATAAATCTCTGCTGTTTGATGATTCTTCTGATTTTGGCATTCAGTGTGTCTGACTGCTGTAATCTAGTGTTTCTTTCTTTATGTATCTACTGTGTAACTTGTTACTTCCCATATCAAATCTCCCATAACAAAGTTTGATATAATTAAATCCTGTAATTAAATTTACAAATTGAACTAATCTAAATCACTATCAACCTGTTATTAATTTTTTATATTCTTATTAAAATTTAAAATAAATTTTGTTATGAACCTCTATTTTTCACATTTTGTTTTTGTTCATACATAGTTGAAAAAAGTTTACAAATGTATAAAAAGATGATCTCTCTGCATTTTTAAAGTGGTCCTTTTTAGTAAGTTAGTAAAAGAAAACAAACATGAAAAAGTTTACAGAGTCATGTAAACTTTATTTCATTTACTAAATGGTCAAACATAGAAATGGATTTTTTTATCTCATTTTTAGCATTAAATGCCAATGCTCAAGTGGTATAATTCCTTAACATATATAAAAACTATAATTCTGGGAAATCCCGGAATCACAGGATAAAGGCATATTTCAACTTATAATCCTGAGATTGATAAAAATAACTCAAAACAATCCTTAATATATCATTTTCCCAAGCAAAGCCATCCTTGCTAATTCCATCTAATTATTATCTCCAATAAAGTAATGAAGCTATTGAGAAAATATACTTCTTTCTACACATTATTCATTTTTAACTGTTTTCTATTATATGAGTTGTATACCCAGGTAACATATCTTCTTAATATAATAGTCAAATCTTCAATTAATTTCTTCAGATTGAGTCATGCAATGTATATTGTGGCATATGCTGATTAGTTTAATATACAGGTAACCCCTGTATAACACGGCACTTCTATAGCACAGATTCACTCTAACACGGTTTGAGAATTGAGTAAAACCCTCATACAACATGAAATGTAATAAATTTTCAATACCTAAGTACTAATAGTTCACGAAAATAATAATTTTCATCAACTATTAGTACTTATGTATGTAAATTTTCTTTTCCTGCCTTCTGTCAATACATGTGGTCCTTCTCAAAACTTGTTTGTGTTGCCAGATCTCGATGCTTCTGATTTTGTGTTGCCAGATGTTTTTCTCTTATTCCATACTTGCTTTATTCTTAAGTGCTTAGCACCATATAAGGAAATTTATAAAGATCTTTTAACTAAAAGCAAGCAATCTAAAATAACATTTTTTTGCAAAAGGTAGAGCATGGACATGAAGATAATGCAGATAAATGCTCAGAGGATAAGGATATCTTGCCAAAAAGAAAACTCCCTCAGTTAATAGTGCTTTGTGATGACAAAGAAAACATTGTTCAATTTATATTAATATGCATCACTTAAGAAAATTTTAATAACGATATTTATTTTAATTATGAAAATATAATAGCATGTTTTAATTTTTGGAACCTAACCCCCATTTTCGTACTAGTTCTTTGTTTCATATAACACGGATTCGCATAACACGGCAATTTTTTGGAACATAACTCCCATGTTATACGAGAGTTACCTGTATAGTAATATGCATTAATGAAGATATTTATCTTAATTATGAAAATATAATAGCATGTTTTAATTTTTGGAACCTAACCCCCCTTTCTGTACTAGTTCTTTGTTTCATATAACACGGATTTGCATAACACGGCAATTTTTTGGAACATAACTCCCGTGTTATATGGGGGGTTACATGTACTTGAATAAACACGGTAAAGATTTATACATTAACTTATTAAAAATCAAAAATATATTTGCTTGCTATGGTTCATTGTTATATTCATATATGGACCATTTATTTTGAAAGTGGTGTAAGTCCATTTTTGGAAAAATGGACTTACACCACTTTCAAAATAACAATATAATTGCTATTTTGTTGTTAATTCGATACAGTATAATTGAAAATTTATCGGTAAATGATATTGCATAACCATTGATTTTGAAAGTGGTGTAAGTTCATTTTCTACAGTCTAAGCACTTGGGCTGTCCATAAATTACATGTGTATTTTTCTTGATATTTTTACTTCCCCCTCTTGTCTCAGTTTGTCCAAGTTTTTGTAACCCCTTTTCCTCTATGGATGTCCAACATAACTCTATCCCCGTTAAAACCTTCATTACTTTATGAATGATAGATACCATAAGTAGAAATGAAACATACAAGAAACTTTGAAATAAATATAATAAAATGCATACTGTATAAAATTTAATGAAATAAATGGATGTCCACTAATACTCAACCCCCCTTGTCCGAGTTGTCTTAACCCCTTCCTCCTTTCAGTGTGGACATCATTTAAAGACAGCCCCTTACAACAGAGGAGTAAAACTATAAATATTACCAACAAATGTACAATTTGATGGACTAGAAAAAAATCCATGTAATGAATCTAAATGAAAAGCAGTGTCTAATGGTAAGCTCATAATAATGATAAATTTATCATAAAATAGTTTAACAATAAGTAAATATTTTTAATGTTCAGAATAAACAATACTATTTTATTTCTTGTTATTATATATGAACAAAATCAGAATAAAACGCAATGTGTTTCAAGTGACATTGAGTTTTACATAATAGAAATTTAATGAATTTTACAGTTTAGTAATTATGAAAGTGGTGTAAGTCCATTTATGGCCCAGAAAGAATATATTAGTTTGGATAAATTNGGCTCACCAGTGGCCGAGCGGTCTTCGTACCCTAAACACTGGGAGTTCGGTCGTGGGTTCGCGCCGCGATCGGACAGGCTGGCTGCTTGGAGTTTTCCGGGTTTTCTCCTTGCCGATAACGACTAAATAGGAGGCCAGTTCCCCATAAAAGTCCTCCCGGAAGGCATTCTTTCCCCTCGCGTAACATCGCGCCGCAGAGAAGTCCACGAAAAACCACTCTGGGTACTAACCTTCTCTAGTAACACCTTGTCGTATTATTAACTACTTACTAATCTGCGCTGGGTGTCGCCGACATCAGAAATCTGATATGGCATGAAAAAGATCTTCTAAAAAAAAAAAAAAAAAAAGAAAGTTTAGTTAAATTCACATAAAAGTCTTTACGCAATCAACTTACATATTTTTAAAGTCAAAAACATTGTCAAACTTAGTACACTTTATTTATATTTTTGAATCAACTAAAATGCAAATGTTTAAATATTTCGAAAGAAGAAAAAATGGACTTACATCACTTTCAAAATAAACAGTCCATATTGTGTTTGATGATGAATCCTACTGTATTTCCAAACGTGTAAGAACATATTTTTATTAGTGAAAATAATTTGTTTTTGCATTCTTGAAACTCAAACATATATCACATATAATATCTCTTGTGTGTACAGCTTGTTTTGACTTATTAAGAGCATTTCACTACTGTTCAATGACATCTTTGTGATAACCATTATTAAAAATAAAAAGTCAAAATGAAAAAATACTTTGCAGAATATAGTGCTGATTTTGTCCCTTATAAAAGCATGCTCATACAGTATACTTGGATATACATGTGGAGAAATATGGTACTTTCAATTTTTAAGGTACATATTCAACTTTGTATTTTTTAATTATTTAAACTTTGTCTGCTAAACACTTGTGACAAATTACAGATAAACTATTATTTTATTTCTTATTCTTTTTTGTTTTCTTTTTGTTCTTAAAACACAACTCTTTTTTATGTTAATTTATAATTTTTGAAAATAGCTAAAATGTTTATTGATTAATGATTAATTTCTTATATCACAGATTCTTCTTTCATACAAAGCAAACATAGCAGCAAAGACAGAAGACAACTGGGAACCATTACATTGTGCATGCAAGTGGGACAGCGTCGAAGCCACCTCGGTTCTCCTCCAAAATGGTGCAAATGTAAATGCCACTTCCAAAGGTGGCCTAACTCCTTTACATCTGGCTGCTTCAAATAATGGAGGCAGGCGTACATTGGAATTATTGTTGTGGCATCCTTACATAGATGCTACCATAAAAAATGAAGCAGGCGAGACAGCTTATGAGATAGCTTATCGTAGCGGGCCTTTCTCTAAATTATTTGAAATTTTAGACGATTCTATCAATGTCTACTAAGTATTTATTTCCATTAAGATGTTAGAAATTACATTTATTTATTTAAAACATAAATTCCTTTAAACACTGAGCAAATTTGATTCTGAAAATTACCAAAATAGCCAGCAATTCAAATGATGTCAATGCTCAAACTGCTCAAAAAATATCAAAATAAGAGCTACAAACTTCAACTGTATAATGTAAAAGGTGTACTAAATAAGATTTCACAATGTTTTTATAAATTATAGCTTGTACATATTACATGTTTTCTTTTTAATTTTTATTAAATAAGATATGCATATACATACATATTAAATTATATCTGCAATTTTACAATAAATGTTCTGCAAATGATTTGTTGTTCATTATTCAAAATTTTTCATATTTTCTTTGTTTAATGTTATCAATACTTTAAAGCTCGCTCATTATTTTCAGACTATTATAGTATTTCACTGTGTAATTTTTGTAGCAGTTTACACATTGAAAGTTTATATCATAAGATGCATTTTACAAATTTATTAACATATTTAGGAAAAATAAAAGCTCAAAAATACTCAAATTAACGACAAGGTCTGTTAAATTGCTACATAATTTACTTCTAGTTTGTCATAAAACAAATGAAGGTACTTTTCAGGTAATAGATTTGAACTATAATCTGGTTAGTCAGTAGCTTGTGCTGTGTCAAGGATGAATGTATTTAATGAATCCATTGTCATTGACATTTTTATCATCATAAAACAAATTTATGGCACAGTTGTCTCAATGTATGAGGCACCTGCAGACATATGTGTTTGGAATTGTGGTAGTGTTTAATTTAATCTTTTCTTTCAACTTATTTCTTGAAAACTTATCTTTCTTTTTATTTATATACTTTCCTACAATCATGTTCCATTGTACAGGTATACCTCGACTTACATCGTTCCTGATTATACATCGTTTGTCAAAAAAGTATATAGAAAAATAAAAATCAAGTTTAACTCATTTTATTCGATTTTACGTCTGTCTGCCACAAATATTGAAGTCGTAATATCACTAGAAAAGCGTTTAAAGCACATAAAATCATATTAAAATATATACATTTACAAGTATGTACTGTATTTACAGTACATGCATTCGTAAATTTAGATTACTTTTTTCTGTACTATATTAAAAACTAAAATTTATTTGTTTGTAAGCTTAAAATAGATCCTTATTAACCATATATTATTAAAAATGCATTAATAAATAAAATACAGAACCGGGAATGGTAATTTATGGTTTAACCTAGTGACAAGTAGATTCAGAGACAAGTAAATTCAACTTACATCACCTCTCCTGGAACCAATTACCAATGTAAGGCGAGGTATACCTGTATTTTGCAATTTTTTTTTTATTATAAAAGTCCACAAATTTCTTTTAAATAAGCATAAAATTTTGTCAAACAATTCTGTGATGTCACTATCTACAGACCACTCCACCACTAAAAACATAATTAACTGAATGTGAAGTTATCATTTTGTAAGTAGTGAAGTAATAAAACAAGTTAATTATTAAGAATAAAAAAATCCGAAGATAAAAGTATACAAAATGATTATAAAACCAGCTGCTATCTAAGGTTTATCCAAAAAGTTTAGGTAATTAGTTTTTTTTGTGAAAAATTTATTTAAATATAAATGTTTTTAATACATCAATTAATAATAATTATTATTTAAAAGAACTTTAACAATAATTTGTTTTAAAATTAAAAAATATAAAACAATATGTATCAAAAAAGTTTAGGTAATTTTACAAAACAATATTTATTTAAACATAAAATGTTTTAATTAACTTTCCTTTACGTGAAATTAACTCAAAAACTTTATTTTCCATTGTTAATATAAGATTTTTATGGTTTCATCTGGTAAATTATTCCAACACTTCAGATTTTAGATATGGTTGAAAACTGCTTGCAATTGGCATATACTGTACTGTACCTGTCTAGATACAATGCTCAAAGATTTTCAGTAGAGTTCAGGTCTGGGCTTCTAGCTGGCCACTTTAAGAGATTAACATTATTTTTTATAAACCAGGTTTGAGTTGAAGGGGACATATGAATAGTATTATCTTGCTGAAATATCCAGTTATTTCCAGCAATTTGTTCTCAAAAAGTAAAAGATTCTATTGAAAAAGTTATTGATAAAATTCTGAGTTTTGTTGTCCAGAAATAAATGCAATTGAAATTTTCTCACTATATCCAAATCTTGTCCAAACCGTAATACTTCCTCCTCCTCTATTGAAATATGTTTTAGATTTTTTCTAAGATCATGTCAATAGAAGGACCACCCATCAGAGCCATCTAAATTCCATTTTTTTTTTTTATCACTAAACACTACACCTTTTCATTGTTCTTTCCACAATATGTGCTTTCTTACCCAGTCTAACCTTGCCCCAATATGTTGTGGTTTTAAAGGAGATTGATTGGCCATTCTTATGTAAATTATTGGTGATGATTTTAATACATTATGAATAGTGCTTTTACTCCATGATCCAAATCTACTGCAATTTTTCAAACAGATGATGTAGAATTTGAAGCAAGCTTTAAAATTTTCCTTTCATCATGTTCTGGAAGACCAAAAGTAATTACTGATCTTTTGTTTAGGTTTCCAATTTTCACCTTTTTCAATAACTTTATATATTCCTGAGGTAGACTTATGAATTTCTTTAGCAATTTGATTAACTGTAGCACCTTCTGCTTTTCTTTTCCAAATGTAGAGCACATTATTTTCAGTGAATTGTTTGTTTCTTAGTATGGTTAATATTACAGATAAAGCATTTGTTGAAACTTAAAATAATACACTCTTGTGATATTTTAAAGAATTGAATGAAATTACTTAAACTTTTTGGACACACATTATTCAATTTATTCGAATTTTTACGTTAAATTATTGGTTAAAGTTCTTCTAAATAATAAGAATTATTAATTGAAGCAATAAAAATAACAATATTTATATTTAAATAAACTTTTCTTACAAAAAAAAAAAACTAAATTATTTGGATAGACCTTATATTAGCCATGTCTCTACCCAAGCAATCAGAACAGACTACAGTACATGCATTTGAAAACCAAGTTTTAAGAAATATATTTAGCCAAAAAACTATAATCACAAGAGATTGGAGAATCCTGTAGAATGATGGTCTAAGAGAAAAATACAATGACAGCAAAATCTAGTGTTTCTCAAACTTACTGCTCATGCAACCCAATATATTTGTAATAGTTGCACAACCTATGTGTTAATAATATAAAAATTTTTTAAACCTGGTAAACTGGAGTCGCTCTATACTATGTAAGAGTAACAAAATAAAATTATTCACAATAACTTCAACATGTGAAATGCGGCAGTGAGTAAATTTCTATTAAGAGTGGTTCGGGCCAATTTCAACTTGTAACAAATAATTTACTTTAAATTTCAGTTTTTATTATTGAAATTTAACTATCAGTTGACCCTCCTATAACACTGTTGATTTTTCTGTTTTATATGAATTCCATGTTGTACGAGTCACTTAGATTTTACAAATATGTGCCGGGCTGTGAACAGCTCACGTATTTGTAAAATCTAAGTGACTTGTACAATATGGAATTCATATAAAACGGAAAAATCAAGTGTTATAGGGGGGTCGACTGTATTAAAAAATGCAAGACCGACAACTTTAAATAAAACACTTTCAAAATTATTCAGGAGCCTATTTTACTTTGAAAAATATTAAAGTATTTTTTTTTTAACAAACTTAATGAACCCTTTTTCAGATTGTAAGATTTTGTCAATTTCATTTTGTATCTTGTATAAACACACACACACAAAAATTCCTTAAAATTTATTTATTGATCTAGTACCAAAATTCACTGTTATTCACTTTTCATAATTTATTGATGTCTGACAATAAACCTAAAAGTTTGAATACACATGGAAATATTTTCAAAACCATTGCAATTTAAATGGCTTTATGACTACAACCTTATATAAAATATCTATTTTGATGTTATTCCAAATACAAGAGAGAAATCAATTTTATATACATTCTCCTCTGCACACTCTTGCTTAGTTACCTTATCTTATGATCGAACTCATACACGAGGAACACTTTCCATTTTAAATTAAAATTTTATTATTAAATGACAATAATAGTTATAAGAAAAAAAATTGTTAAAAGTTTTCAGTATTTAATAGATACATCATCTGTTAAGTGCTGAAAACTTTTTAACAACTTTTGTTGCATCTATTGTCCCTAGTTCTTACAGAATATTTTAATAATACAAGTATTTCTGCAGAAGGTGGTATCATTTTGTGACACATTAAAATTTTAACATGACTCATAGTTTGAGAAACACTGATCTAGAAAATTAAGATATCTCAGACAGGCTAATTACTGAATACTTATAGAAGCATATCCCAATCTGGAGTATGCAAAGTGCTTTCAGGAGAAACATGAAGAAAGTCCAAAATTAACAGGAAACTGTTGATTGATTTTTGATAACAAGGCATTAATCCTAGTGAAATCCATTACAGGATGTATGCACAATAAAGAGAATCATGCATGTTGCTACAAAAAACTTGGGTTCAACATTGACATGGCTCATCATCTGTTTGATCTTGAACTTTTCACAATGACATGTATGACACTATGGGTACGTTCGTAAAGTCGAACGAGTTAAACGAGAATGACGTCATCGTTATTCTTATTTCGTTAGACTTTTCGAACGATTCGTTTAGAACTAAATGGCTATTTCTAAAATCGAAGATACAAATGTTGCTAGTACAGCCTTATCCGAAATATTTTTCATAGATTGCTTCGGGTGGACAGTTACTCCAATCATTTCATCTTTTAATTCACAATTTAAACACTCAAGTAGATTTAGAAACATCCATATCGTCGGGCGCCATTTTCTTAATGAAGTAAACTAACTCTTTCCTTCGTGAACTTCGTTAGAGTTTCGTTCGAAATGTCATCACCGCAGAGCATGCGCACTGAGCGAGACTACTACTATTCGAATGATTCGTTACTAACTCGTTTAACTTTACGAACATACCCTATATTGTGCATATATACAAGTTAATGATCTCACTAACTTGTATGCCTTTGGCTGTCAAAAATAGAACATAGAATAACAGCTCACTGAGTCTGGTGCAATTAGATATGGATGACTATTTTATAAACTGCATAGTGATTGCAAACGTCACCCAGCAGGGATGACTATTGGTGCAGAACTACATTACTGTACACTCTTTCATTATTATTAATCTCAAATTCTTCTTCAACCATTATTTTTCCTTAATAGCACTACCAACGTTATTCATCCAATCTGTCTTATACAAAATTTATTGAATTTCTCTACATATGGGTGTATTTTATAGAGTAGAAGCTAACAGAATCTGTAAATAAATTAGATAATTATAGATTACTTAAAAAAAGCAACAAATACAGTAACTTCTCATTTGTTTCTCTTATTTAAGTAACATTTGGTTATGAGATGTTTTTCACTGGTCCTGGCTAAAGCCTAGGGGAAATATGTTTCAAATCTCTCATTTGAACAACTCTCTCAATTCTATGCCCTTACAAATGGTTCAGACTAATGCATTTTCCCCTCAATTTACCATTGTGATTATCAATCACAAAAACCAAATGGGGTCACTCTGCAGTAGGTCAGATAGAGGTGCCCAGGAAGATAAAGCAGAGAGGATTATCATACTGGACATCACATTTGTTTTTAGAAAGAGAATGTTTGTGGTTATATGTTTAGATAAAACAGGATGGAGGTAAGTGAAGTAAGGAGTAGTTAATTATTCTTAACAAAAAATAATGATGGTTCCAAAAAATTTGATCCATTCTGTTTATGGAAAGAATTAACTTGAGTGTGTCATGCATGATGTCATTTCAGTTAAACCAATCAGCACATTCCCTAATGATATCAGAATTTTTCACTTAATATCAGGCAATATATGAATTTTACTTTATTTTCTCTCACTAGATGGCAGAATGACTTTTCCATTAATTATTTAATATTTTATAGCATTCATTAACTGTAAAGAATCATGTGCTTAACTACTACTATAGCAAACTTCCTCATTCCAATACCAGAACCTGAAGCTTTCATAACACTGTTTATAATGGTGGTGATGTGTTAAAAAATGAGGAAGAAACCGGAAGTAACTTGCCACAACTTAGCATTCAATGGCAGATGCTTATTAGTTAATATCCAAGTTGATTCTTTTCGTAGACAGACTATAGTAATTCAAAAATAAAAAAACCCACATTGTTTTAAAAACATCAGAAAGTTGCCTTGTAATTATGAAAATTCAAAAAACGTGGATGAATTCACAGATTTTTACCGACTTTCTAAAGAAATGTGACAGGCACTACAAAAGAAAAATTGAATCAGTGTCCAGCACATCCACAAGACCTGCCCTTTCTCCAGTACATCATAGTGATTTTTGTGGGAGACACATCACCTGGTGACAGAAAAACCTTTTCTCGGGCAATCAAATCATTTTAACTTTTGGGAGACAAAAAGTCCTTCATTGATAGCTGTAACCAATGAGTGTGCATAGATTTATCATGTGAGTACAACTCTTGTTTACAGCACAAAAATAAAAGTGGAGGACAGTCATTCATCGACAGTTGATAGGACACGACTTTTAATTTCATTAATTCAACTGTAAGAAACAATTTACAGTATAACCTCACTATTAAAGAATAAGATGACAAGGTACTCAAAGATATATAATTTTGCACTGTTAGTGAAAATTTATGGTTATAAATTTTCACTAACAGTGCAAAATTATATATCTTTGTTATTAAATTATATATATCTGGTTAGTGAAAATTTATGGTTATAAATTTTCACTAACCAGATAGAAACGTCAGTCTTATGACTCCATGTGTCCAGACATCACCAAAACACAACAGGTTTTTTTTGTTCAAAGACATGTCTCCAAGATGAGAAATTGCTTAGTGTGTCACTGCGTAAAAAGGATTAAGAAATGAAACATTAAGGCTTTCCTAAAATACAGTACAAGGATAACCTTCCTGTGCACTTCTGAGCTATTTGCTATTCAGATCAATTTAAAAGAATTCAAAACTAATCTTGCATATGAATGGATAGCTGAAAAATCCTTATTGATATTTATTCTTAAAATGCTTTCATGGAGTAAACACATTCATTTTAGTTTAGTTTGGAGTTTTTATAATTAAATATAGCTTTGGTTAGTTAGATGGGGTCATTCTGATTTTGTAAAAACTACTCTGAAAAGATCATCTTAAAAATTTAAATCAATTTATTTATGACAACTATTGTTTGCATCCTTTACATTCTTTAGAAGAAAATATTTTATTTAAAAAATATATATATTTNTTGTAAAAATTATTGTGAAAAGAGCATCTTAAAAATTTAAATCAATTTATTTAGACAACTATTGTTTGTATCCTTTACATTCTTTAGAAGAAAATATTTTATTTAAAATATATATATTTTTTAAATAAAATATAACTCTATACACAAATATTTATTTATTATCGGAAGATAATAAAAAGTTGTTATTATTAAAAACATAAATGTAAATTACATTGCTTCAAAATTAAACCCAAATTTACCAATATTTACAATTAAGATTTATCTCAATTAAGATTCTGATCCTTTCTATGTAAGGAGAATGTAAATATTTAAACTGTTGAACAAAATAAATTTTATGCAAAAAAATTCTTTCAAGATTCCTTTTTACAGTAAAAATATTTTTTAAATACATAAACCAATGATCTTTCAGTTTAGAAAAATTTTTCTTTATATGATCATTTGTATAAATATCACTAACAAACTAATTTCTTTTTTTATCCACCTAGCTATAAAAGCTCCTTGTGAATTACAATAGATATAAACACAATATTTAAACTAAACCAATATATCATTTTAATTACTAAGAGTAATGATTTTTGCAAACTTTTTAATAGACGGCGTATCTTTATTTGTGATACTCGAGCGTTTCAATTCTTTCGGTGGAGTTACGTACTGCCAATTATTAGGCACTGGAAGATCTGTCAGATTGTACTGTTGCAGAACTTCCTCGTGAACCCACCAGCAATGTTTATTCAGAGTGAGATTTTTACACCACTCGGCTATCTTCTGAAGAGTGACATCTACCTGCCTTTTCGATATGCGACCAATTTTTAAATTTGGCGGCTGTGGACAGTTCGCGTTTTGACCGATATTTTCAGATAAAGCTGGAACACTTACTTGTAGTGAAGATTCTGCATCTGACTTATCTGAACAGTGTTGTTGCCAAAATTTTTGAAATTCTTTAATTACGGTCTGACGACCAAATGTATTTGCATGAACGAGTTTAATTAGATGTGGCATGGCTTCTTCTGGAACAAATTGTTTTGAGCTAGATTTTTGAAGTTCACACAAACAGGACGATGATAAATTAGCGGTATCTACACGTGAATCTTGAGAGGATTTACATGATATCTGTGTCGTCATTATTGGACACGATGTTAGAAAAACAGGAGAATATAACTTTAACGTATCCTCCAACTTGGCTGTCCATTCAATTTTTCCGTTCCCTTTAAATGTTGCAATAATTTCAGGCTTTAATTCCGAGCACTTTTTATTTCTTTCATCTTGAAATTCTCTCTCTCTCATTTTTAAAAGAGCCCTCTTAGATTCCAGACTAAGATTTTCATCTCCGTCTTCGTCTTCCGATAAATATCCGTGAGGCACGAAAAAATCGTTATCCACTTCGTAATCGTCTTCGCTTTCTTTTTCGTCTTCGGTACCCGATAAGCTCTCCCCCGGACCCCCCTCTTCCCATTCTTCATCACTATCTATGTCATAATCGAAACAATTTGAATCTTTTTGTAAAGGTTTCCTAGCAGAAATTTTAATACTTTTTTTCCTCCAAGTCCCCCAATACGGTGGTCTAACATTTTCACAAAATTGTAATAATTTAGGTTTTAATTTCTTCTTCATTTCACATTCTTTGCTATCTATAACAATAACATCATCATCTATTTCGTCAACGTCACTTCTGAACTCTTTACAAAACTTATACGGCTTACGTGCTCCAATTTTAAGTTCGTTTGTATATAATACATTTTCATTTTGAGCACTTACTAAGCTTTCAAAGTTTTCTTGATTAAACTTTTCAAAAGCAATTGAAGGCACAGGAGGAGCAACTTTCATATGTTTTGTAATTTCAAATGGAAGAAATAAACTTTCTTGATAATCAATCATAGGTAACAGTGTAGGTTCTGTTTTTACAAAAAAGCTAACAAAAGCAGCCTTTTCTCTTTCCTTCTTCTTCTCTTCTTCTGCCTTTCTCTTCTCGTCCAGCATTTTTTGCATTTCTTCAGCTTTTCGTTTCTCTTCTAATTTCTTTTGTTTCTCTTCTTCGGCCCTTTTCTTCTCTTCTAACTTCTTTTGCCTCTCTTCTTCTCGTTTTTTCTTTTCCAGTAATTTAGACTCCAATAACAACTGTTTCTGCTGACGCCTTTCTTCTTTCTGTTTCAGTCTTTCGAGACGTTCCTTTTCTTCTCTTTCCTTTTTCTTCTTTAACTTCTCGTTTCTTTCTCTTTCTTTCTTAGCTTTGGCTTCCAATCTCTCTCTTTCTTTACGTTCCTTCGTTTCCAATCTTATTCTCTGTCTTTCCCGTTTAATTTTTTCTTTCTGAATCTTAGTTAATTTCATTTTATTAACATTTGCAGTTTTAATTCCTGGACTATTATCATCGTCGTCACCGTCCCCAATATCAATTATCAAGGGACTGTTATTATTTAAACTTTCATCGGTAGGAGAATCTGCAGTCGAAGAAGCATTGCCACCACTCACGGAATTACCTACAAATTCAACATTGGAATTATTCCGAGAACTGTCGACTCTCGCAGTATCATTGTAAGATTCGTCCAAGAACGAATTAATTGCAGATGGTTCACCTTTGTTGTTTTCTTCCACCAATGCACTGGAATCTAATCCAGAATCATTAAAGGTTTCTATATTTTTATTAGTTTTGGACGTACAAGTGCTCGATTCGAGAAATTCTGCTCGTTTAAGTGGGGATAATGTCATTGCTTCGGTGCAATTCTGCGAAAGTCGTTTAGTTTGCTTAGTAATTTTGGGACTAGACGTAACGTTTGGTCTATTTTCGATCTCGACATTTGCCTCGACTTTATCAAAATTGGAGAGTGATAACGTTTCGCTACCTTTTTTACACTTAGCCACATCGTTGTTGTCATCACAATCAGATAACTTTCGTTTTCGCACGTTTTCGATAGGATGCGCATCGGATTTAGCATCCAACATTTTAAAAGGAAGACGAGTCTGCTTCAGAGAAACATTTCCACTGTCCATTTCTTCGACCATTTCCAACCTAACAATTCAATGCGCAGACATAACACACGGCATTGACTTTTGTCCTCGGTCTTAATTTTGGCGCGCAACATAGACGCCCTCTTGCGGTTTGTTTCGAGTAAATAGATTTGAAATGTTATTTTGATCACGAAAAAATAAAATATGTTAAAATTTATTCTAAATTAGTTTACGACTGTATAAATATTTAACAAATTAATAGTTTGTGAAAATATTTTGATTAATTATTGTAATAAAAGGTATATTTAGAACTCCTTCGCTAATAACTGTGTTATTATTATTATTTTTTAAACTCTTTCCGCCCTGTGGGCACTAAGAGGACCTCTTTATGCAAGCCCATTATGGGTTCGGGCAGGACCACAATGGGACGGCTGGGTGGTGATGGACGGGACCCGACATATCCGGACTGACCCAAGGACTATATACTACAAGGATAGCCAGATCCCTATTCTACAATGTTAGCCAGGAATGCCAAGTTAGTGACGTCAGCACGAGTCCTGACCTCTCTGTTTACATAGAGCAGGGTGTGCACGTGTTTAGTTTTCGCTTTTAATATTCGTCCAATTTTGTGATTAACGAAGTGATTTATTTTAATATTTTTGTAATTGTTTTATTTGACTAAGTTTTTTATAAGNTGTTTCGAGTAAATAGATTTGAAATGTTATTTTGATCACGAAAAAATAAAATATGTTAAAATTTATTCTAAATTAGTTTACGACTGTATAAATATTTAACAAATTAATAGTTTGTGAAAATATTTGATTAATTATTGTAATAAAAGGAATATTTAGAACTCCTTCGCTAATAACTGTGTTAGTGGAGAGCGAAAAATTGTTGTTTAATTTCCATTAAGGTGAAAATAATAATAATTAGATATAATAATGTAGATGATATAGTTATTATTGAGTTGGCTTTTCCTGTTTATACTTTAGAACATTGAGTGTAAAATTATCATTCTGCATTTGATTTTTTATGTATGGCAATAGCGTAATTTTAGGGGAGGGCGGTTCGCTCCGAGAGGTACTTTTGTCTAGAATTTTGTTATTTCTGCTTAACAAAAAGTAAAATTCTTTTTCGTCGGAATAGATTCAAGAAGGCAGACACAATTGTATTTTTTCCACGAAAATGCTGTTTGTTGTTGGAAATTTCCAAAAAACACTTTTTAACTTTTTGTTTATGTTTGAAATGTACAGTAGTGATGATTTTTTCGTGGAGGCTGTAATTTTAAAGACCGCCCCGAATGGCGGAATTTTTAAGTATAAGATTACCAAGTGTTTGGTATTTTCCGAAATGAATGGAATTTCAATTATCTTTTAAAAAATTGTCTTTTTACCTCGGGAGCAGTTGGGGCTACTAATTATAATTTGAGTTATTTTTATTCCCATTAGTTTGTGGATTTTTCTATTTTTGTCTTTTTCCGATCTGTGAACACTAAGAACGTCTAATTGTAAAAGCCTTACTGTCCTTAAATTTTAATGTTATTGTTAATTGTCTACTTGGACTTTACTTATTAATAGGACTTAATACTGGTGTTTAAAGATTGAACAGAAATTATTACTACAGGTGATATAATAAAGAAATTTTGTTCTTTCCTGAACTAACTCTCATTGCTGTGCCAATCTTTAAACACCAGTATTAAGTCCTATTAATAAGTAAAGTCCAAGTAGACAATTAACAATAACTAAGAACGTCTATTTAATCATACTCAATTCGCTAAGCCCACAATGGCTGCGCAAAGTGGTGAGGGACCGGTCTCAACATATCTGTAATGGATTGTTCATGAAAAATGTTCGGAGTTTTTCAATCCGTTTGGATTTGTTTCTGGATCTCTCTGATCTGTATGCTGACACCATAACGTCTTTCTGTGTCAGCATACAGATCAGCCCACCCCGAAATGGGGATATGTCGAACCCCGTCTCTCACCACCCGGCCGCCCCATTGTGGGCGGCCGGGTGGTGAGAGACGGGTACATAATGTGCTTGCAAAAAACACCCTCTTAATGCCCACAGGGTGGAAAGAGTTAATATATAATACAGATGAGTAGTTCTGGCTCTGAACCGTTCTGGACTTGGAACTACTAGGAACAATTCCTCAACGGTGTTGAGATAGTTTCCGTCGAAACTACCAAATGCATTCTTCACTTCGTTTTGTTTGTTAAGTTATGACAACGCAACACTTGGGTGATCTGCCTAGGGGATGCCTTCCGGGAGGTACATTTTAAGGGAAACTGGCCCTTATTTAGGCGTTACAGACGTGGAGAAAACACTGAAAACTCCACGTGGCTAGCATGTCCGAGCTAGGACGAACCCACGACCAAACTCTCAGTGTTCAGGGTACGAAGACAGCTTGGCCACTGGTGGGCACTCTTAATTTCGTACTTCTACAAATACAGCTTTTCCCGGAACAGTGACCTCTTTATCTGGATTTGAACTTGAACTTTAAATTGAAATGTTCCACAAAGTTTTAGGAATAATGAAATTACAGTAGTTTTGAATATTTTAAATTTATATTTTTATTAGAGTTCGTAATTATTAGATTTTATCAGTAACTAGCAGATGTCCGGCATTGACAGGCCAAAACGTAAGAAGGCTAAACGTTAAAATAAAAAGACATATTAAAAGTTAGGTTATTTTAGTCTACCGATTTATCACGAAATTAAGGAAATCAAATCAGGAGAAATCTACATTTTTTTCAGGGTCCCAGAGAATAAATAAGAAGAATTTGATGCTGATCGGGCAATAGGTTGAGTTAATAAGCGGGGATGAAATCAGGGGAGAGGTCGATGTCCAGATTTTATAGTAGTCTGCAGTTTTTTCAGAGTCCTAGAGAATAAGTGTAAAAATTTAGTTGAGATCGGGAAAAAAGCTAAGAACCAGAGCGTCGCAAACATTTTATTATCTACATACGTATATATATAACTGACGAGGAACGGTCAACCGTCTAGTCCAGCGGCGCCAACCTTTCTGATCTCAGGGACCACTAAATTCACAATTTTGAATCCCGCGGACCTGTATCATGAATTTTTTTAAACGATACAAACGTCTATAAAATAATGATCATAAATGTTCAATTTTACTTTATTAATATGAAATTCACTTGTTTAATTATAAGAAATTTGTTGCTGCTTGTTTGAAACAAGTTTATGGATTCTTGGCTTTTTTAGGAAGGACGACAATCTCATTCACATTATTTTTTGTTGATTATTTATTAATTTATTGACATTGTTATTTATTAATAATAGGCATTTCGTGTTCGGTTTTAGATTCGAATAAAAATCCTCAATGAGTGAGAAGAAGCAACCAAGCATTTTGCATTTTTTTTCCGTAATACTTCACGTAACCTTGAGTTGATCGATGTCAAAATTTCTCCACGGACCACCAAAATTTTCTTGCGGACCATCAATGGTCCACCGGTTGACGACCGCTAGTCTAGTCCAATGATTCTCAAATGTTTTTGGGCTACCGCCTCCTTGGTTTCATAAACTTATACCCAACGCCTCCCAGCCAATGCCCAAAGTTCCCTAACCCATTTTCTGTTGTGAGAGAAAGGCATGGAAATATTCTTAGAAAACTTTTCTATGAACCTAACATTTACCGTACATTGTTCTCCACATATGGAAACCATTAAACTCAATGTTTCTTCATACCCATTTTAATAGAGGAAAGGTTGTAAGTGACCTCAACCCTCGCTTATGGTTACCATTCAGCGCAAACTCCCTTCATTTTGCTCTCTTAGATTTATTTACCGCTCATTTTGAGAACCATTAGTCTAGTCTAACATTTCCGATAGAACATAACGGTACCGAGGAACCATCTAGTCCAACTGTTCCGATGAAACCGTTCTGCATTCGGATCAGTTTCAACAGTTTCAGTTCCAGAATCGGAACTGCAGTTCCCACCTCTAACGTACAGCAATACGGAGGAAGTTTTGTAGTACAGTAATTACACTAGAGCATTTTTTCCCATCCGTTCTTCCTTCCTTTATACTGAGTTCAACTTTTCCATAAACCAATCTGAACACTGCTCAGGGCTCCTTCAGTCGAGTCGTCGACAGAACTAGCTTGCAGACACGTGTTTCTGTCATATTGTTGTGTTTTGAGCGTGTCCAGGCGGTTCTGTAATAAGAGATTTTGTTTCTTGTGATTATTGAAAACAAAATTGCATTAGTGATGTTTGGAAAAATTTTTTAGTTCTATTATCTCTGTTATCTATTTCTATGATAATAAAACACTTAAGTTTTCATCTAAACTGTGTATATAATGAAAAGCCGGTATATGTTATTAGAAAGCTTTGAATTCAACAAGGAAGGGACTCGTTAGGAGAAGTAGGTCCCTCGCAGAGAAACAAAGCGCAGTTTGAATCTGTGAATGATGCAGCTGATCTAGGAGGAATCGTCAAAGCAGAGTGAAGATAAACAACAATTTCCGTCCTGTATTCTATTTTGTATGAAAATTTATATTTTTAATTATTATAAAATGGCGAAAAACTTAATTTTGAAGTAGAGATGGGTTTTATATTTTTAAAAAATTGTAAATACTAATAACGAATAAAATCGTCGTTAAGTCCGATCTACTCGAGATATAACACGACTCACCTCTATCTCCCCACCTATAATTATTAACCATCAAAATTTAATAGTATCAACCCTCTAATATTCGAACCTCCCTGCAAAATTTCAGACATTTCGGACAAAAACACAAGAATTATTAAGAGGTGAACAAAATTGTGCCCCATACATACACTAACATCAACTGAATAACTGAATTTTTTGCATTTCTCGACGTTTCAAGGTCTCCTAATCCAAAAATGTTAAAATTTTGGGGGGTCATTTTTTACCGATCGTCATACTTTCCCTCTGTTATATATAACAAAGCTGGGAAAGTAAAATTAATGTGCCAATAATGTGTGAATAAAATGAATTTTTTTCCATGTGTTTAAATTATAATTGATATGATGTGTGGAAATAGGTTTTCTCACATCTGGTCCCTTTTGAAAATTGTCACCTCATGCCGCTGCACCAGAGTCTACAGATATCTACGGACTCTAATTATACTAAACAAAACAAGTGAT